TATATATATTGATTTTAGAGAGGAAGGGAGAGGGAGAGAGAGCTAGAAACATCAATGATGAGAGAGAATCATTGATCGGCTGCCTCCTACACATCTGCTACTGGGGATCAAGCCTGCAACCTGGGCATGTGCCCTTGACTGGAATCAAACCTAGGACCCTTCAGTCTGCAGGCCGAAGCTCTATCCACTGAGCCAAACCGGCGAGGGCTACAGCCACTTGACACCTTCAGTGCATTCTAGGTAGAACCGGGCTACTCAGAAACATGCCTGGGCTCTTTGTGGAGCAATGGACTTTGCTGCCCAGAGGCCACCTCCCCTCAGAGCAGCTCAGCAATTTCCCAGAACAAAGGCAAGAACCAAAGAGTCCCAGAGCTTTCTCCATGGCCCACTCCATCACAGGGTTGTACTCACACTTCCCTTTGTACCTCCTCTCCCTAAGCATTCAGCTCTTTGGCGTTTTCTGGGCGTTTTGACCACTAGCTAAAAAGGGAAAATTGGGAGTACCAGAGGCACTCCTTTCTATGCAATAACCCCCACATTTTCCTCTCTTCCTCCTACTCTCCCCCTTTCTCGTTCTCCTCTTTCTTCTTCTCCACTCCCCCCTCTCTTTAGAGAACACAGGTGCCAAAGCTCTTTCTTTTCTCTAATAGAGAAATCGAAGCTCTGCTAATTAGGGGGAGATTTGGACTGGAATCCTAGTCTCTCAATTGCCAGTCATTATTTTTTCCATTTCAAACCATGCCTTCCTAAAGCTGAGGTTCTACAACAGAATGTTAACAGCAATTATCGTCGGGTTTGGAATTGCAAGTGCTTGTTTTTCTCTATTTTTTTTTGCTTAGGGATTTTTCCAAATTTTTCTGCAAAAGGCTATATATTACTTTTGCAATAGCTTGGGTAAACTGGATGCTATAATAAACAAGTGTAAAAATTAACATTGCTTAACCAAAAATGTTTATTGCTTGACCATATATAGTCCAAAATGAGTGTTCCTAAAGAGTGCATAGGCCTCCTAGAAGAAGCAATTCAGGAAACCTGTTCCTTCCACCTTGGAGCTCCTCTATCCTCAAGTGTGACTTTCAAATAAGCTGTAATGTTCTGTATAAAGCAAGAGGAAAGGAAAGAACACACGAGGGACACTTTTATGGGGGAGGCCAGAAAGTAATATGTATATATCACTTCCATTCACACTCCATTGGCTAGAACTCAGTTGCAAGGCTGCATCGAACTGTGGGCATAGTGGGAAATGTAGTTTATCAGCACACAAAAGAAGAAAAGGAAATGAATACAGTGAATGTGTAGTCAATCTATGCCACACCTGTGTAAGGAAAAGAAAGTTGAAGTTAAAATGGAATAAGGAAGGCAAGTCCCTCTGTAAAGCTATCTTAAACTCTATCTCCCTTACAGCATTTTCACACTCAAATCCCCATTGTCGCACTGATAAGAAATGCCCTTCATCCTCAAGTCAAGGGTATGAATAGATTGGTTTTTCTGACGTAAATGGGTGTAGAAAAGGGAGATCACTGGATAAGACTGAGGGCTCAGGCTGCTCTGTGACCTAGGGGTAAACCTCCTCCTCCTCACGGGGGGCACTGTCAGCATATGGGTGCTGCCTCTCTACCCCATGGTACTGCTTTTCACCGTGAGGACAGATGATTATGAAGACTGTGATGCCACCATAGTTCATGTTGAGTAATGAATTTCTTCTCCCCTCAGCACAACGATCAGGCCCAGAGAAACTCCTATTCCATGTACCTCCTGCAACGGATCCAGAACCATTGTGTGCTCAGAGCAAGCACCTTGTTCTCTACCATCCCCTCTAAATGAAAACCTCTTGCCTTAGATACAGTCTTAACAGATGTGTAAATATTTGTGAGTAACCCAGACTTCATCTGGATAATCAGGCTATGGGAGAGAGGGACAGCTGCGACCAAAAACATCTCAAAGGCCCAAACTCAGAGCTCATGAGAACACACATTCTCACAGGTGCATACCAGGAAATAGTCATCTCCCTTCTTTGGCAGAAGTCAGTTAGTTCCCAGTGTACTAGAATGGAATGGAACAATGAGACCCACCTCACCAAAAGTGTAGGCTTCTGTCCAGAACTTCCCATTCTGTCTGGGAAGAGTGGGCAGAGACAGATAATAAAAGTAGGTAGAAGTTAGCTGTTTATATACAGCCCAAAACTTGAGGTGGTCCTCAAAAGAGAGGAGAGCAGAGAGGCTCTGAGTTCCGCTCTTCATTCCTGAATCAGAAAGATCTGTAATTTCATGGGAAAGTTCAATGGTCATGTATACCCAGGGCTGTATCTTTTCTCTTATGGACTGTATCAGGCAGCAGTGGTCTTTAAGACCACCATAGTCAATGACTCTCTTCTGTATCCTTCCTGTCCTCCCAGAAATAAGGGAATATGGGCCAGGCTGTGGGAAATATCCTACCAAGGTTTGCTGAAAATAGTGACCGGCTCTATCTTTACGATTTATGTGATCTTCTGCCTTGATGATGGGATGGTGCTGATGAACAGGGAAATGCCACCGAGATTTATGTACCCCAAAGAGTGGCAGCACCTCACCATGTTCATCCTCCTCACCCTCAATGGCTGTGTAGATGTCACGAGCAAGAACTTGCTGCCTCAGAGGTGTGTGCTCCTAGAAAAAGGTGCCCTGGTCCTGATCTTCTACGTGCTCCTGATGCTGTTGGTGTCACATGTTCAAGATTCGACAGGGGTGGAACTGCAGGTTCATTCTCTGCTCATCTTGGTGGTGTTCCTGCTGATGCTGGTGTTGACTGTTGAGCTGTGGGCTCCCAATGCCTTTCACCTCTCAATGACTGAGGCCTTTCTGTTTCTGATGATGGGCTCCTGGCTGATGCAGGCAGGCTTTATTCTGTACCGACCAGTCACCGGCTACCCATGGCAGGATGATGACATCAGTGACATCATGTTTGTCACCACCTTCTTCTGCTGGCATGTGATGATCAATGCTTTGTGTCTACTGGGGATATATGGCATCTCTTCCTTTTGGCATCATTGTTACAATCCCAGGTCTAAGCTGATGGGATCCAAAGAAGCTTCCATATTATACAAGCACTGAAGGACCCATCTACCAAGGACCCATCTGCCAGAAGTGAAGCAGTCAGAGAAAGATGACCAGGCTCTTCTCCTTCCAGAGAGCTCACCCTGAGATAGGGCCCAGGATACCTGGCACATTGTCTATCCCTACTTCCTCCTTGTAGGTTCTCTCAGACATGTGCATTGTATCCTCTTTGGTCTCCAATGAAAGTAATGGCCAAGGAGAGCATTTGGTCTCCATCTGCTGGTATATCTCCTGTCCTTGAACCTCAAATCACTGAGGAGGTGAGGAGAGAGGGGGCTGAGAAAGGGATGCTGATGGGATTGATGTGTTGGGGGAAGAGGACCATAGGAATAGATAAATATGGGAGAAAAGCTATGAGAGTTAAAGAATGCAATCCAAGATCGGCCTCTGAATGGAAGAGAGTGGAGTCCAGCAGTCATGCCGGCACCAGCTGTTTCTCCAGGTTTTTACTTGTGGAATAAAGACTACTTTCTCACAAATCAAAATTGCAATCGTAGGTGTTTCTGTTTGCCAACTAAAGTGAAACATTTATAGTATAATTCACTTCTCTCACCTGGTTACAGTAATAAGAATATCATACATACATTTTAAAATTTGGATAGATCAGGATTGTTTCAAATTTTCCACATAAAGAATCAGTACTTTCATATCACAGTTTTTCAAATTCCCATAAACCAAATTTCCATTAAATGGTAGCACATTTCTTATTCTTGATTTCTAATCCAGCCAAAGCAAGACGTAGCTACTTGTTTAACTACCACCAGCCCTACCAGGAATTTACTAGATCCTACTTTGCTCTATCCTACACTTGTGCCTTCGCCAAAGGACACTCTGTGCAATTTGGAAAAATCCATCGCCAGTCACATATTAACTATACAGTGTTACTTTATACCTGGCATTAAAACTTAACACTACTGCCACCAAGAATTATTTCTCCAGAAAATTCTCACATACTCTTTTGATCTGGGACTCTTCAGCGCCTCATCTAAATCTGCCTTGTTTTTTCCATGCTGATGATACATTCTTTGTCCTGTTTCTCACATTGTCTCTCACAGGGAAGTTTTGCCTTACCCACTCAAGGCAGTCTCCTTAAGAGCAGAGATCTGTCATATCCTAGGCACCTCATTTGCTCAGCATGTTCCAGAGGAATATAACGTTGGCCTCTACACGTGAGGATTAAATTGCTTTACCAACTTTCATAATACATTATAAATATTCTATAATTAAAGCTGTGGTATAGGAGCAAGCAAGTACCACTGGACTGTCCATCAACATAGTATAATGTAATAGATGCTCCGGACACAGAAATATAGTGTGAGAATTAAATACATGCTAAGAAAGGGCTCCTCAATTAATGTGAGGAATAACTGACTCTCTATTTTGGGAGAAAAACCCTTAGTTTCTACCTCAGACAACACACAAGGAAAGAATTATAGGTGGATTGAAAAGTTAAACATTAGCAATAAGACTATCAAATTATTTTAAAGGAAATACAGGAAGATATTTTATAATAAAAGATATGAAACTTTCTTGAGCAAGACAAATTCTAAAAAGATTACCCATTTTAATGAGCTTTCCCATAATTAAAAGACACAAGAAAAAGAAAAAAAGAAAAGAGACAGCCCTAGTCAGTTTGGTTCAATGAATAGAGCATTGGCCTGCAGACTGAAGAGTCCCGGGTTCCATTTCGGTCAAGGGCACATGTCCGGGTGGCGGGCTCGGTCCCCGGTGGGGGGCATGCAGGAGGCAGCCGATCAGTGGTTCTCTCGCATCATTGATGTTTCTATCTCTCTCTCCCTCTCCCTTCTTCTCTGAAATCAGTAAAAAATATATTAAAGAAAATAAAAGGGACACTGGGAAGAATATTTTTAACACATGTAACAGACAAAAAAAATCAGTATCCAGAATATATATAGAGAGATATTCTAACACTGACAAACAAAATGCAACCTAATATAAAAATGGGCAGAAAATATAAGTGTCCATGGCTCAGAAAAAGAACAATCTCTGCCTCCACCTTCACATTGTCTTCTTCTCTGTGTCTCGAATCTCCCTCTGCCTTTCTCTTATAAAACCACATGTCACTGGATTTAGAACCTACCTTAAAGCCAAAATGATCTCATCTCAAAATCCTTAATTATATCGGCAAAGACCCTTGTGCCAAATAAGGTCACTTTCATAGGTTCCAGGGGAAATCCTTAACTTAATTATATCTGCAAAGAACCTTGTGCCAAATAAGGTCACTTTCATAGGTTCCAGGGTTAAGACTTGGAAATATCTTTTTAGAGGCCACCACGCAAGCCACCACACTGTGCTTGCCCATACCAGAATCTTCTGTCCCATGTCCCTTGGGGCCTAAAGGCAGTTACAGCTCCATCTGTTACTCAACTATTTCTTGCAGTCACCTTCACCCAGCTCACATCTGTGTAAGAAGTACCCTTTTAAGCCCTCCTTGAACTATTCCAATTTGGGTTGCCATCTATTTCCTATTGGGACCCTCTCTGAGTCCCAGTAGACACTAATAGAGTAATTGCAGAGACCAGAGCTTTAAACAGAATTCACCCCCAGATATTTGGAACAATGATAAGAGAAAAACTTTTTAACTGAATTTCACTAAAGTGAACATACAGTGAAGGAGACTAATTTGTAAACAGGTAGATAATAAATTAAGGGGATCTTCCAAATTCAATGAAGATGACCAAAGGATCAATTCATTCATTAAAAAAATCTTAAACAGCTACTTTTTTCCAGGTACTGTGTAGGGATTAGCAATACAATAATGAGAAAGACACAAACAGACATACACAATTATAGTGCAACTTATAGTAATGAATGAAAAGGAAGATTAGATGGTGTGGTCAGCAGAATTCTAAGATGGTCCCCAAGACTCCTGCCCCTGGTGTACACACTCTATATAATCCCTTCCTCTTGAGTGTGAATGGGACCAGTGAATGTAATGAAATATCATTCCCATGGTTCATTTATAATAGTTGAATTTATTTCGTTGTTGTTATTGTTACTTTAATATATCTTTATTAAATAGATATGACTTATTGAGCACTTACTGTGTGCCAGGTTCTTAATATGTTACTATTAACCCTCGTAATAATCTTTTTGAGGCAGCTTATTTTTATTTAATAATAATAATTTATGTCCACTTTGCTGAAGACACTGAACCTCAGAAATACAAATATATAGTAAACTAGTTGAAAAACAAGATGATTTCTGAATCCAAGCTCTTTCCTCATATTATAATAAGTTGCATTTAAATTAGTGAAAAGGGAGATTTCCCTGGGTGGGTCTGACCTAGTCAGGTGAGGTCTTTACAAGAACGTGAGCCACGTGAGCCATCAGGGAGATGCAACCTTGTTGGCCTGAAGGAAAGCAAACTGCCCTGTCACGAACTTCCTATTGGGGGCAACATGGCAAGGAAATGCAAACAAATTCTAGTTGCTGAGAACAGTCCTTGACTCACAGGCAACAAGAAAACGGAAGCCTGGGTCCTAGAACTGCAAGGAGCTGCATTTTGCCAACATCCAGTGAGCTTGCAATAGGATCTTGAGCCTCCGATGGGAATCCCAGCCCCAGCCATCACCTTGGTGAGATCTGAGCAGAGGACTCAGCCAACCCATACTGGATTCCTGGCCATGGAAACCATGAGAGAATACATTTGTGTTGCTTGAGCTCCTATATTTAAGTTAATTTGTTATGCAGCAATAGAAAACTAATTCAGGTCGTATTCATTTTGGGTGAAGGTTTTGGGCACAGGTTAGGGATGAAAAACACCACAGTTCATTAAAGATGTATGGCTCTGCCCGGCTTGTGTGGCTCAGTGGTTGACCTCTGGACCAGGAGGTCACAGTTTGATTCTTGGTCAGGGCACATCCCAGGTAGCCAGCTCAATCCACAGCAAGGTGGGGGCGGCGGGGGGAGAAAGGCATGCAGGAGGCAGGTGATCAATGATTCTCTCTCATCATTGATGTCACTGGAAGATTGCATCCAAAATGAAGCTGAGATCCTCATGAGAATGAGGAGCTTCGGGCCCATCGAGTTCTTACGCTCTGTGTCTATAATTATAAGGTGGAATTTAGTTTCTTGGTCCCCAAAACAGTGGCTTGGACAGAGTACATGAGAATTCTAGATTGTGAGATACTGAAGGTAGAGGAGGAAGTTGGGTGGGAATAATAAACATAACCCTTTGGATGTTTGTCACATCAAAATTAAGGAATTTAATTTACTGAGCTTTCAGTGAGCCTCTTGGAGGCTTGGTAGACAACGTATATTAATTACCTGATTTAAAACCAGGCAAACCCTTAACTCCTATTGGCTTAACACAACAGAAGGGGATTTCTGCCACCCGCATAAAGTCAAATGCCAGCATGAACACACGTGCCGTCTCTGACCTTGTGCCTGGTTCTGCTGGAGCCCCCAGCCTCTGGCTTTCTGTCGAGTAACACTCCGGCAGCTTTCTCTCTTCCTCTGATGTATTTCCGCCTTGCAGCAAAGGTGAGCTGCAATCATTTTCTGATGATGATGATGATGATGATGATGATGATGATGATGATGATGACGACGACGAGAAAGGCCTTCCTAAACAGAAAGGAAGTACGTAAGTTAAAAGATGCTTGTAGATAGCACCATACTGAAATCCCCCAGCCATTGAAAAGCTTATACTGTGGCTCCCTAGATGCCATTTCTGACCAAACTTCTACGTCCTCTCCGAACTGTTCTTTTCACTAAAACTGAAATTCACTCAACATGTCATTCTCTCCTAAATCGGCATGATCCAATATGGCAGCCCTAACTATACACAACTATGAAGCACTTGCAATTTAGTTTGTCTGAACTGAGATGTGCTGTAAGTATAAAATATATGCCGGAGTTTAAAGGCTTAGTATGAAATAAGGAACATAAAATACTTCATTTATAGTTTTTTTAAATATATTTTATTGATTTTTTACAGAAAGGAAGGGAGAGGGATAGAGAGTTAGAAACATCGATGAGAGAGAAACATCGATCAGCTGCCTCCTGCACACTCCCCACTGGGGATGGGCCTGCAACCAAGGTACATGACCAAGGTACCCCTTGACCGGAATCGAACCTGGGACCCTTGCGTCCGCAGGCTGACGCTCTATCCACTGAGCCAAACGGGTCAGGGCTCATTTATAGTTTTTATAATAACATGTTGAAATAACATTTTAGACATGTTGGGTTAAATATCTCATTAAAATTAATTCCACTTTTATATGCTTTTTTTAATGTTGCTGTGAGAAATTTTTAAATTACATGTGACACTTGATTTCTATAGGAGAGGTAGTCTAGTTTTCTCATGTCTTCAGTGTATGTGTGTGTGTATGTGTGTATGGAACTGTGTGTCTTCAACTAAATAGTAAGCTCTTTGAGGATAAGAACTACGATATACTTTTTATATGCCCTGCGGCATTCAGAATTCACAGATTTGAGTAAGTTCACGTTTACTAAATTCCTGAGGACCTTCCTACTCATTCTAGCATATCAAACAAGATAAGTGGCAGTGGCTGTGCCTGGGGACCCTTGAGAATGGGGTGGGGGAAGCAGCTCTGAGGGGAGCCTCACCATGGAGCAGCCAGGCCATGAAAGACCTCCACAGGCTCCATGGTCAAGGTGAGTTTTCCTTAGGAAACAGCTTCCCAGGCACTCAATGCCCACAGGCTCAGGACTGTCTGCCAGCTCTGCTAATCATTCACTCCCTTTGGCTTTCTTCTCGGCTACCTGTGGGCAGTGTCCGGTTTGGGATGGGAGATTCTTATCTTCAAAGCCGAGAGATCAGAGTGTTCATGTTTCAAAGAACATGCAGCGTTGTTTGGTGTGTGGCCAAGGTGGGGGCCTGAGCATCCAGGATGGGCTACTTGTCCTCATCCACGCCACTTGCAACTGCTGGGTCATCCCTACTGGGTCAGTGCTGCTGTTCTCTCTCCTCCTCTGGCCACTGGCAACGAGCTCATGGCTGCCAGGAACAACTGGGGAGACGAGCTCATGGCTGCCAGGAACAACTGGGGAGACGAGTGTGGGAGCTGGAGTGAGCTCTGCTGCCCCTACCTCACTGGGACCCACAGCCTCAAAGTACTGGAGGCAATTAAGAGTGACCAAATGCAGCCCCTCTTGGGACCTACAGGCCACATGATCTCCAGCCCAGCACTGCTGATCCCTGGAGGGGCAATAGACCCTATGCTTCTCCCAGAGCAAATCTAAGAACCAAAGAGAATCCCTGGGGTCCTCTCCTTCCTGACTCATAAAACCTGTCACTTCGAATCAAGCACTGTGCTCCAAGTATTTTGAAAATTCACCAAATGGGAAAAACCAGTCAGGAGATAAATAAGCTCATGTCTGTATAACAGTATCCATGCCCTTTTATTTTCACTTTAATAGAAAGTTCAACACTCAATTTTTATTTTTTTTTTCAGATAAGGGGTATGAAATTCAGTGAATCAAGGGAGAACTGAATTTAGAACCCAGATTTCTGGCTTCCAGTCAATGCATTTTCCCACTTTCTCAGGCTGCCTTCATAGACTGTGTTTCTATACCTCAGTGGTGACAATGGTCACCTTCAGACTGTGGGGCTACAGATGATTTTTTAATGTTCTTCTTTTTGCTTAGATGTTTTCTCTGTGTGTTTTTTTCCACAATGACTATACAATGGATAAAAACACCTAAAATTAAAATTTGAAATAAAGCAAAGTCCTTCAGAAAGCAGAATTAAGCTTTGTTTTTCCTACTTGCCTTCACACTCAAATACCCATCCCCCCCCAATCTCTGAATAGCAAGAAGCAATCTAAATTATTGCCATCCTCGAGGGCAGAGAGAAATTTTATTTTTCTGGAATTAAGTGGACTTGAGGAAGAGTAGGTATTTGCTGAGGCAGTGCTGTGTGACCTGGGTGTGAATTCTCCTCCTCTCCACCAGGGGCGCTGTCAGCATTAAGGTGGCAACTCTCTGCTCACAGCATTGCTTGTACTGTGAGGGCAGATGATTTTGCAGGAGACTGTGATGTTAGCACGGCACAGCTCGTGTTGAGTGAGAAATTTCCTTTCCCCTCAGAACTCCCAGAGAAATTCCTATTCCCTGTACTTCCTGTAATACAACCAGAACCATTTGTGGGCCCAGTGCATGCCTCACATTCTCTGTACTTTATTTTCCACCATCCTTGCCTTATACTCGTCTGGCTGTTACTCAATACCGGGGACACTTTCTTCCAAGGTACATCAGACATTAGTTATGGATAAATGAAGCTGATGGGCTAATTCATATTAAAATACAAAGGGCCAACACCAGCTCATTGGAGCCATTCTTCTTGACAGTATCTGCATTTTAAGGATTATACCCTAAATCCCTTATATCAGTAGGGATGCATCATGGGAGCAGAATGATATGAAATATTGATGTCTTATAGTTATTAGACCTTAAACATTTGTGGTGAAGAAGTCTTTGGAACTGCTGCCTCTCTGCTGTATGATGGGCCTGAGGTCATTTCAGGTTAGAGTGGCAGCAGCCAGAAGAAGATATGACGTGAAGCCAGGGAAGAGCAGGGACAAACCAAAACCCATGAGGACAAAATGGAGCCTATGTCTGCCTCTCACCACCTCATACTTCAGTGGCAGGTGACCTGCAGAAGAAATGGGTGCCTTTCACACTAAGAGAAGGTAAGGGAGCTACAGACCTGGCTGTTGGTCATGCCAAGGAGGTGAGCCAGCAGATCAGTAACCAAATGTATGAGCTACAGTGGTACCTAGCACCTACACCTTCAAAGTGTGCTTAGGTTGCTGCCTCGCTCCCACCTTCAGATTCTCAGGTAAATTTCTCTTGTAGCCAGCTCAACCTGGAACCATATAGGAAAGGGAATTCTGGGAAACATGACTCAAGCTTAGGTTTATACACCACAAAACCACCACTATCTCTAAAATCATATCAAAAGGTAGCTTTTTAGATCCAGTGGAGATGATGAAGTGAGGGTAGGGGTGGGACAAAGATGTGAAGAGGTAAGGGGAGGAGGTGAAGGGAGCTTTCTTGGTCATTTTCCAGAATGTGTCTATAAAATAGAAAAGCCAGGTAGATGGTAGGTATGTGTTAAATGGTTATATATCCAAATGTTTATACATATACGCATCTATAAAGAAAACCTTACAATTGGACCCAAGTTATGTCTGAGGGGTACTGAATGATATTTAAGGGTTTGTGAGTGCCCCGGCTTCCTCTGGATAATATGGTAATCCCTACCCCATCCCTTAGTCCTCTCTCCTTCTGTTCTAAGTGCTGGGCAGCACAAGGGGAAGGAATCCAGGGGAGAAAGGGACAAGTGTGACCTGAAGCGCCCCAAAGGCCATAGAGGGGAGCCCCTAAAAACACATTCATCAACTTTCTTCTTTGGCAAAAGCCAGTTCCCAATGTACCAGAATGGAATGGAACAATGATGCTTTACACCACCAAAGGTGTAGGCTTGATTCAAGAAACATTTCCTCTCTGTAGGGGGGCAGTGGGAGGGGTGAGATGATAAAAGTTGGTGGAAGGCAATTCTTTCCAAAGTCCAGACCTTGGAGTGGCCCCAGAAGGTGTGGACGTGCCCAAGTTTTGTTCTTCTCTCTTTCGTTAAGAAGATCTGTAGTTCAATGGGAACCTTTATCGGTCATGTGTACCCGGGGCTGTTTCTATTTTCATACGGACTGTATCAGGCAATAGTGGTCTCCAAAGCTGTGATATTCAATGACTCTCGCCTGAATCCTTCATGTCCTCCAAGAAACAAGGGAAGATGGGCCAAGCTGTGGGAAATATCCTACCGAGGTTTGTTGAAAATAGTGACCGGCTCCATCTTGATAGCTTATGAGAACAGTTGCATTAAAGGAGGGTTAGTCCTGATGAACAGGGAAATGCCACCGAGATTTATGCTCCCCAAACAGTGGCAGCACCTCACCATGTTCATCCTCCTCACCCTCAATGGCTGTGTAGATGTCACGAGCAAGAACTTGCTGCCTCAGAGGTGTGTGCTCCTAGAAAAAGGTGCCCTGGTCCTGATCTTCTACGTGCTCCTGATGCTGTTGGTGTCACATGTTCAAGATTCGACAGGGGTGGAACTGCAGGTTCATTCTCTACTCATCTTGGTGGTGTTCCTGCTGATGCTGGTGTTCACTGTTGAGCTGTGGACTCCCAATGCATTTCACCTCTCAATGATTGAGACCTTCCTGTTTCTGATGATGGGCTCCTGGCTGATGCAGGCAGGCTTTATTCTGTACCGACCAGTCACCGGCTACCCATGGCAGGATGATGACATCAGTGACATCATGTTTGTCACCACCTTCTTCTGCTGGCATGTGATGATCAATGCTTTGTGCCTGTTAGGAATCTATGGTGTTTTTTCCTTTTGGCATCATTGTTACAATCCCAGGTCGAAGCTGACAGGATCCAAAAAAGCTCCATATTATGCAAACACTGAAGGACCCATCTACCACTTGCTGCCAGAAGTGGAGCAGTCAGAGAAAGATGACCAGGCTCTTCTCCTTCCAGAGAGCTCACCCTGAGATAGGGCCCAGGATACCTGGCACATTGTCCATCCCTTCTTCCTCCTTGTAGGTTCTCTTAGACATGTGCATTATATCCTCTTCGGTCTCCAATGAAGGTAATGGCCATGGAGAGCATTTGGTCTCCGTCTGCTGGTACATCTCCTGAACTTGTAATTGCTGAGGAAATGAGAGGGGGCTGAGAAAGGGATGCTGAATAGATTGGTGAGGTGGGGGAAAGAGAACTTAGTGAATAGATAAATGTGCAAGAAAAGCCATGGGGATTAAAAATGCAATAGAAGGGAAGCCTTTGAAGGGAAGAGAGGGGAATCCAGCAGTCATTCCATCTACCAGCTACTTCTCTGGGTACAAGTGATTGCCTTTTACCTGAGGGAATAATAGGTGCCAACTTTCTGCTCACAGCATTGCTTGTACTGTGAGGGCAGATGATTTTGCAGGAGACTGTGATGTTAGCACGGCACGGCTCGTGCTGAGTGATAAACTTCCTTCCCCCTCAGTACTCCCAGAGAAATTCCTATTCCCTGTACTTTCTGTAATGCACCCAGAACCATTTGTGGGCCCTCACATTCCCTGTACTTTATTCTCCACCATCCTCTGCCTTATACTCATCTGGCTGTTACCCAATACCGAGGACACTGTCTTCCAAGGTACATCAGACACTAGTTATTGATAAATGAAGCTGATGGGCTAATTCATATTAAAATACAAAGGGCCAACACCAGCTCATTGGAGTCATTCTTCTCAACAGTATCTGCATTTTAAGGATTATACCCTAAATCCCTTATATCGGTAGGGATGCACCATGGGAGCAGAATGATATGAAATATCGATGTCTTGCCGAAACCGGTTTGGCTCAGTGGATAGAGCGTCGGCCTGCGGACTGAAAGGTCCCAGGTTCGATTCCGGTCAAGGGCATGTACCTTGGTTGCAGGCACATCCCCAGTGGGAGGTGTGCAGGAGGCAGCTGAT